ATGCAATTAGATGATGCCAACAAACATAATTCAACAATATGGCTCAGGTGAGAAATTAGAAGGAAGAGAAAAGGTATAAAAAAATTAAGTGGCGGCACTAAAGGCCGGCGAGCATCGGCTACAAAGAGCGTGATTTCAGCTTCAGCTTCAGCTTTCGAGTGAACAATAAAAATTGGACAGATAAATATATGCATGCGACTTTGAGGACTAATCCATTTTAAACTCATTACTATTGGATGATGTCATCAAGTATATCAAACACCTTGTAGTGGCCAAACGACAACGACGAGAACAACTTTCTGACCAGCATCGATTCAATGACCAAACTCAGTTTTGAACATCTTCAGATGCTAATTCCCATTTTAGCTATATTGCTACACATTAATCAGGGAAATATATATTGTTGGATTTTTTTTGCGAACAATATATTGTTGGATTTGATGATGATTTAACAGCTAAGAATATATAGATTATTCGTGTCAAATACCAGGCCCAAAAATATGAAATTAACCGGGAAAAAAGCATATATACCATTACTTTATGATGATGCAAATGCATATAGAAATTTTGATGATGTGGAGAGATAGTGAGGTGAGAGAAAGAGGACGTCGTTTCGCGAAACAACCATCTAATAAGTTAAAATTTAGGACTATATGACAAATCCGACACCGTTGTACTCCCTTCGTTACTTAATATAAGCCATATAGATTTCTAAAGAAAAATCCAAAATATAGGTACGTATCAGCTCCCACACTGATTAGTTTGGAAACCTTCCCACCGTACATAGCACATGCCCCAACCAATCCCTTAGATTTAGGAATCTTTTTTTTTCTTAACAGAACGATCGATACCTATCGTTTTTTCTCTGTACATATGCATTCTATCGAGTCTGGCACGCGTATCTCCGTAGCTTTGTTTCTCTCCCTCTCTTTCACGCCAGACTCCATGGACAACTGCAACTCATCTTCCATGCCCAAGGAGAAGACAAAGCAAGCGATCTCGCTTCCAATGGACAAGGACACGAAGACGGCGACCTCGCTTCCCATGCTGAAGGAGGAGATCAAGTTGGTGCCATGTGTGATGTGTCTTTAATTGCCCGGAACGAAGACTGACTTCTCGCATTGGTTCAGAGAGATGGCAAAGTATGAGTGTTCCAGGTGCGGCGAGATGCGCGCTATGTTTGAGCCACCCTCGGATGGATCTTCAACGAACAGCTATGTCGGTAGCGACGAAGAAGACCATGGGAACGACTCAGAAAGAACATGTACTAGGAATTGATCAATTGATCGATTAGCATGAATAATTATTTTTACCCCTTGTCGTTTCATCCTTTAGATCATTTTGAGCATGTACGAGTACTCCTTTTGATCAATTAAACTTGTACGACTACTACTAGTACCAATAAATGATCCATGCATGTATGTGAACGGCCAAATTCCTAGTTTTCCATCGAAGATCACCGTGCCGTTAGCATCAAAGCGTGGGCGAGCCACCGCAGCCAAAAACATCACCTACACAATAACATCATCGTGCCATTATTAACAATTCATTTAAATTCTAATCAAGCAAATATTGAAATTTAAAAAATCCATTGCTCACCTTTTCAATAAAGTTTTTGCTTTGGGTGCTACGATATGGCTCCTCTTCGCCAGGCGCCAAATAGTAATTCTAGCAACCGCGCGAGCGGTAAAACCATTTCTCGTCGATATGAATGACGTTGTACATCACTTTAAATTTTGGATCGTGCGGGACAGTATGCTCGTCAAGCATTGACAAGCAAAACCTTACCCGACCTACCTTGTTATCATCTGTTAATGTTGACTTGATGGCGTTTGTGTGACGCCTCAACAAGCCCTCCTGCAAACGTCGCCATAACGTGGTCTTCTCCATGTTCAACTCATTTGCCAGATCCTTAAGAGTGGTTCTTTTCCTCAAGTCCACCTGTTTGATAACCTCCGGATCGAAGGCTATCCTCTTCCGCCCACAGTTTATTGACTTTTTGTTTTCCAGTCCGTGCATTCCACCGACATCCTTGCATTTCTTCCACCACTTCCGCAATGTCCGCACAGGTATGCCCGTTAGTACAGACACTTCTTGAGACACTCCTCGACTCAATACACCAGGAGCTGTCCTCTCTAGAAGCATTGTGTAGGCAGTTTGCTTCTCATGGAGTCGATACCACCTTCTTCTCCTCCTCAATGTACCGTTGGCACCTGCAGATTAAAGTGAAGATAGTTAGTGTAAATTCATTACTGCTAGTTTTAAAAATGCAGTGCAAATCAACCCAGGATGCAAGATGAATTTAAGCAACGTGTGAGTACAGCATGCAAGATGAATTTAAGGAACAAGATGCAAGATTACCGGTGGCTTCTCCGTTCTGCCTTCCTTCCTCATTGGCGCCTCCCTCGGGTCCAACTTCTACATGCTCGTCGGTGTCGCTGAGTCCACTGCCTCCATTCGCACCTAAAATAACAATTTCAATTACGAATGAGTAAACCGTAAACATGGTCAGATTGCTACTCCTAGTCGTATACATGGTCAGGTTACAAAGGATACATGGATACATGGACCATAAACAAGCACATGCAGACATCTAATCGTACCCATGATCTGAACAAAACATGCATCAACTCGAGTAGCAGATTACCTTGAATAGGAAGATGAGGAGGCCATCGTGTCACAGGTGCACGCCCACGGATGCGACCTGTTAGTCCCAGGCGAGCTCGCCCACGTAACTGCAGTGCGTCCTCCCTGCTGGCGCCCACACCATGAGCGCCGACCATGGCGCTGTTGACAATGGACCGCACCCGGTGCGCAAGACCATGGCGACCACCGAGCAGCGGGCCACCGAGAGTCCTTCGCGGACGTCAAGGACATGGCCGTGTCCGTGACGTGCTTGTCCCGCGTTGCCGTGACCACCTAGTCCGGCGTGGCCGTCCCCTTCTTCTCTACCGTTGCCACATGACTCTGTCACTTCTACCTCTGTCAAGATAGCAAATCCGAATTATGCACAGATCGCGAAATGAATGAAGAATCGATTGCAGAAACGATGAATCAAAGTGGGAAAACCTGGTTCAAGCCACTCGTAGTCGTAGTTCAACTCGGCAGCATCCTCCTCCGCCTCGTCGCCGAGGGCATCCCAGTTGATCCACCCGGAGCGACGACCAACCATTAGAGATGTCGAGCTCGACCTGGGGGGGGGGATTTATAGCTCCAGGGTCGCTGTTTACAAAACAAAAATTTCTGATCATTGGCGCCATTGTGATTCCCTCCTCTGCTGGAATTTTTGGATGAGCCAAAAAATTCCATCGCTTTTCAACTTGCCGAGGCTTTTCCCTCTGCATGCCGCGTGGGAGAGAGAGGAAAATAACACGTGTCGTCGCTCACGGGAAACGTAGGCGGTGGGTCCAGCGAGGAAGAGGGGAAACCGATGGGGGGGAGAGAGGATTGTGGGATTTGTTACAGTTTGTTAGGAAGCAATCTGATTGGGAGAGAGAAGATGGCCTGATTTTTCTTTTTTTCCTCGGTCTCACATCGTTCCCCAAGCCGTGCGTTAATATTGGTGCTAAAAACTATATGGCTTATATTAAGGAACGGAGGGAGTATGAGTTATGATTGTCATGCAGCTCACAATGTTCCTTCTATTATATACACAAATTAAGGAAATTGAGTTATTAGGAGACAACTAAAAGGATAACTCACTATAATAAGTTGTATATTAAGATGACTCATGATTACATGGAACTAAACGGTGGTGTCAGGCCCTAGGACCCATTTAATTTGTAGCTACTTTGCTTCGTTATTAAATTTCTCTTGATTCTTGTACAATGGCTTAGTTGGTTCCTATAGTTTCTCCATTTTAATGAGTGTAGTATAGAATAGAATTGCTCATGAGGGCTACTAATTTTTTATAAATTCATGTGACACTGGTACTTTAATTTGAGGATATTAGCTACCAAGCATTTAAGTTTGAGATAGTATGGTTGATTTTCTAGTAAATGTGGTGGTTTAATTGGAGGCCTGCACCTTTCATAAATTGAGGTTATCGACCCATTTAAATTCTAGTTGCTTGTTAATTTCATCGATAGGGCTTCTATGTGATATGAAATTCATTATTTTTACCTTCATTGTTCAAAAAAAAATGGTGACACAAATATGGACATTTGCAACAAAGTTTAAATGACGCCTCTCCCTTTTTATTTGTGCATGCATAAATTTGAAACTTAACTAAATTCAGTGTCATACTTTTTTCATTAATTGATGAATCGAGGATGGATGCAACGTTCGTCTAACCTTCAGATAGTAGGCAGGGTAAATTCGGTTGACAGAGAATTCGACATTCACGATTTGGACTTTTATTCATGTATGATTGAAATCCCTGCAACCACTACACTGTTAACAACCCATTGTCCCCGCATCGAAGAAGGTATGTATGATTTGAATCGTTTGTTGGCTATTACTATTGAAGGTGTCCTTAGTACAATGATGTTTTCCAAAGAAAAAGGCTAGACCTAAGCCCAAGGAAATCCGGGCTGAGCAATCAAGCCCCGATGAAAGGAAATCCGATGTTTAGATGGACTAAGACTAATAACTAATCCTAATAGCTCTTATCTGTAGAGTGTAGACTAATGAACTAACAACTAATTTATAACTCATGACACTACTGATTATTGTGTTTATTTGCATCCTTAGGAACTAAAAATTCATCAACTGGTTGTTAGTTCTATGGATCCAAGGTCATAATCGATTCTCAAACGCTAGGTAGCTCCTTTTTTTTTTTGAAGTTTCAGCTTGGGTGTATTAACAGCCTAACACTAGGAAAGGGTCACGCACTTACCAAAGAAACTATTTTTATTCGAATAGAGTTTGTGAAATAACAATTAACTTTCTGCTGAATACGTACATATATAGATGCCTGCTATTTCTATATATGCTGAATTGGCAGTATTGGCGTCGTCACCATGAACCGGCCACGGTGTTGTATTCTCTGTTGCATAGCACTAGCACGTCCAAGTGTATATGGTGTCCCCAAAATGCCAACGCCCGCGATCAACAGTAGGGATATTCATTAGTTTGTGGTCAATCGTCTCCGTGCCATTATCATCTTCTGCCATCATCCGTTTCAAAGAAACCGTACCGGAAGTCTTAGTTACTTCTACTAAAGTCATGCTCTTGATTGAGTTCTTGGAGCTTGCAAATAACAATCTCACAAGATCCATGTCCTCGTCCGCTCCTCCGAAACCGATTAATTTCACGTCTTCTAGTGATTCCAAGGAGATCGACCGGTGATCTGTCCACGCATACTGCTCATCACAGAAGAAACACATCCGGCATGGCATTGGCATCTGCAGAGGAAAAAACGTAAGTAACGAAGCAATGCGTGTTTAGTTTGTAATCCTATACTTTTATAAAGCAAAATCTCATTAACAAATTTTCTTGACATGTAAGGCGTCCACCTCCAGCGGATGAGAGCCGAGATCCTAGGGAGCTTACGGCGCAGCTTCGACTCGTTCGTCCTACTTGTCTCTTGGGCGGTTTGGAAGGAGCAAAACAGGCGGACGTTCGATAACCTTGCCAAGTCGCCGGCCCACCTCTTCTCCTTGATCTGCGACGAGGCCGACTCATGGATCGCCGCGGGGCATCGGAGTCTGGCGGCGCTCTTCGTTCACCGCGCGGTTTGTGTTGTACCATCTCTAACCTCTCTTAATGAAGCACGTGCAAAGCACGCTTTCGAAAAAAAGGTGTTCACCTCAGCAGACCACTATCATTTGCAATTGAAATTCACTAGCACAAGTAATTATGATATCCACGCTAGTGAGACACATCATCCACTAATATACATTAGTTGTCCACATCAGCATGCCATGCTATCTACTAACATTAGTTTATAATAGCTAATATCTTCCTAAGAATTGTATAAATAATTAAATTTCATTCCAAATCAGTAGTTCCCGCAGCAACGCGACTCTTCTAGTTAATAATGTATATGTGTGTGTGTTCGTTGTGTTTTCCATGGGAGTAGTACTTAGATGATTCTAATTTCAATTTAAGAAACTTATTACCCGGCTTGCTGTATCTGTATCGTCAAAGATCCTAATACTCAGCGATCTCAGGCGTGGGCACCTCAGAAGCAGCGCAAATATACTTGGCACTAGTTGACAATCTTGAAACTGATTTGTGCTCACGGTCAGATCCATGCTCCTAACCCTGGCAAATGGCGCCGCGCCTTCCAACGTCAAATCAACAATAATGACACTGCGTTCCGACGGCTGATGTCCAAGCCACACGCCTACGTGTTCAACATTAGGGCACTTCTCCAACAGCCAGAAACCAACGTCCGTGGTGCCGTCCTAGTATTGCCCGTGCATGTTTAGATGAAGACTGCTGAGCCGGCAAACACTTGTTAGGTCATGTATCTCCAGGTCCGGACGGCGAAAGCACGAATGGTGGCTTATTCCAATCTCCTGCAGCCTCGACGACGCGATTCTTCAGGTCTTGCTGACATTGACGTGCTCCTCCTCCTCGTCGCTCCCATCGTCAAAGCAGTACTCTAGCTCGAGGACGCGAAGGTTGGGTGCGGTTACGTCCAGCACTCGTAGGTCCTCTGCAGATCTAAGCTTAAACGTTTTGAGCGCCTCGGAGCGGATGGCAAGCTGGGCCAATCCTTGAAGGCGTTGTCAAGTTTACGCAGGCGAGGGCAGCAGGACGACACAAAGGCTCTGTTCTTTTAAACTTATCAGCCGTACCGTTTTAGCGAAATAACGGTGTTTTTCTCTCGCGGGGCCAAATCTCGGAGGGTACACTTGCTGCACTCCTCGCCGAAGAAGGACGCACTGCAGAGCTTGAGCTCTGTAAGCGCTTCGTAGTTGGCCGACGCAGCCACCGGAAGCTGGAACCTGTAGCATGATGTTAGGAGCATCGAGATGGACGTCATCCTCCCACGGTCGGGCAACACGACAGCCGGCCCATCCACCCGGAGGGGTGACGTGTACGTTGCCCTTGGGATTGGGAGGACAAGACGGAAAGATTTGACGACGCGCTGCATGGCATAGCGGAGCCACCGATTGACCTTCTCCTGAGAGGTGTACACAAGCGAAGATCTGTACATGCTGATGCTGAGAGATTCTATATCAGCATCACCTCGCTGAGCTAACACCCAATCCACGAACTGGCCTGGGTCAGCGCCGGGTCTCACTTGGGTGCCCAATAGCGCCAGTTGCTGCGCATAGATCCACACGCGCCGCCATCGCCTGGACAGCGCGGCCGTGCGCGTGACGGCCTTCGCGTCGCGCACGAAGCTCAGGACGAGGTGAAGCAAATCGTCGGGGAGGGCGCTGATCCGATCGACATCTCCATCCGGGTCCGCCATGGCCATGGGAACCGGCGGCCGTGCAGAAGCTAGCACGGCCACGGTAGCACGTACTCCGATCCTATGCCTTAGGCGAAATTAATTAATTAATTAGTACAAGGACGGGACGGCGCGCTCCGCTGCGCCCGTATTTTATTTGCGTGAACAGTAAAAACAGAAAGTGGACAGTGAAGTTACGGATGATGAATAGAGGCTGGGAAGTATTTGAAGCTTGGTTGAACAGTGTTTCCTATCAGATAAAAAAGAGGACACGTAGGGGACGATGAAGAGCTTGTTTGGCTGGACTAAAAAATAGTACTGCTCATGCTGGTTTTCACTGCTCATGCTGTTTTTTTTTGAGAAAGACACTGTTCTAGCTGGAGAAAAAGCTGGCCAGCCAGCCGATCTATGCCAGCCGAACAAGCTCGAAGAGAGGCTGGGAAGTATTTAAAGTTTGGTTGAACAGTGTTTTTATTAGGTAAAAAGAGGACACGTGATTAGTGCGGTCGTTCGACAATTTACTCAGCGTTGAAGACTATCTTATCCATAACCCGTAAGGCTCAAAATACAAATTAAGCTGATAGCATATCAACAAGACTAATATATACTCCTTGTTATACTTGTATTCCATATTTTCCGACTAGTAAACTGAACATGACTAGCTATATTAAGTCTCGATCCCTGAAACGAATTATTCTTCACTCAGAGCTCACATGTCTGTATCCTGTCCAGTTCCGATACTAAGACCGAATTCACGTGTCTGCATCTGATACGAAGTCCTCAGGGCTCACACATCCGCCTCTAATTACTAAGATTCAGTTCAAAAGATTCGTAACCCTAGTGTAACACAAAGAGAGGAGAAAATAAAAAAGAACGATATAAAGATTCTATCCATTAAGCTAGTGATGCTTTAGGGGAAGTGTCGGTGTTTCGGATCACCGGCTAGTAAATTTGTATCTGCGCGTCTGGCCCGGATGGTGTGCTCGGAGGACACAAGGATTTATACTGGTTCGAGCGAAATGTCCCTACGTCTAGTCTGCTGCTGCTCGTGTTACCGGCACTAGTTTGTAGTAGGGGTTACAAATGGGCGAGAGAGGGAGAATGTCCCATGTCTCCGGTGAAAAGAACGAACGGAGTTGAGTCTTGTTGAGCTCGTTCAATCGTGTGCCCCCTCTTATGGGGCGTCCTGCTTCCCCTTTTATAGGTGAAGGGGAAGACGCGGGTTACAGAGAGAGAAAGAGAGAGAAAAGGAGAAAAGCGAGGGAGAAGAAGGCCTTCATCTCCTTTATGCGGGTCCCGCCGGTCCTATAGATGATGACGGGGACGGCTCCATGTCGCGGCCCTGTTCACCACTGGTGCCATGCCTCGACGTCATCAGCTGGTCATGGCGTTCCGTCCCGTCCCGGCGGACGACGTGGTGAACCGACGTGCCTGTTAGCGGTCGTACGAAGATTAGGCAGCACAGTTGGTGATGTGAACCCCTAGGGCATGGCCTGACGTGGCCACGGGTCACGTCAAGGAGTGCCCGTGCCCCTTCTGGTGTCAGAGGCTTGACCTAGGTCCATACGCTTGGACCCATAGTGGTTGGGGCGGCATGGACCCCCGTCGGGCAAGACGGAACCCACGCCCGAGTGGTCAGGTGTGACGGAGCCCGCCCCCGAGGGGTTTGGCGAAACAGGGCCCGTGCCCTCGGGGTCTGGCAAGACGGGGCCGCGCCCTTGTGGTCGGGTGAGACCTTAAATACGTCTTGGACCATCCGGGCAAATTAACGTTCATGGCCGTTAACTTCCTTCCTCCGGGTATCCCTAATATCGATATCCGATAGTAGCCCTCGAGCCTGCGGAGGAGTAGAATACTCCTTTAGAGGCTTTTTTCAGGAGAGGGACTTTGAGGGCCTCGGTCTCGCTTTGTAGCCCACAGGGTGTCATGGTTGCAATTCCCTTCTGCCGTGATCGAACTCCTTGGGAACATGTAGCTGCGGGATTTGGGGGGCCGAAAAAGATTTCTCTTGATTCCAATCCCTCCCTAGGATCCGATCGATCCGCCATCATCATGCGACCGCGTATTCGGTCTCATTACGAGTCCAACTTCCCTCGAGCCCCCACGCGTAACAGGGGTCCGGTCGAGGGGTCAGCTCGTCTTGTGATTGTCCTCCCTCAAGTGTTTTTTCTATAAAATAGATGATGTAGACTAGGCCCGATCTTCCGAAAGGTATGATAGCGTTGATTGGTGGAGACTCGACGTTCATGATCTAGGCTTTGAACCAAGACTGATTCGGACCCCCACAACCGTTACACCACTGCTCCGTTGGTTATCAACCACGCAAATGCGATTGACCTCGCCGAGAAGGCTTTCCTGCAAGCGAATCGAGAACACAAGCAAGAACGGGATAAACGTAATCTGAAATTGCAAATAAATATGAGGCTTAAGATAACGAGGAAGAGTTCAAGTCTTTATTCGAAAGGACTAATCACCACAGTTTAACAAGATCAAGAACAGGGGCCCTGGTTCACAGCAAGCAGCCTTGGCGGCACAGTTCTAGCAAAACGATGTCTGTTTCACGAGGAAATCAAGAACTAAACAAAACACCAAACTCTAAGGAGAGCGATGGCTGCTAATTATAGAGTCTTGGGCGTCACCCCCCTGGACGCGCCCCTAATGGGCCCAAACATGATACACGGTCCAACGGACCAAAAAACGATGTCGCAGCACCCTGGTAGATTCTGGACGCTGACTTGTTTCGACAATTCTCGTTGATTCCGAAGGGCTTTTGACGTGAGACCACTTGCATTGGCTTCCTTATCAAATTAGCTTTCCAACCATATGTGGATCATCGAAAACGAAGTCTGGATGCACCCGTGTGACCAGTTTTAATACAGACTGGTTCTGGACCCGAGATGGGCTCCAACTTCAGTTGGACTGGGCCTCCACCATAAGAAAGATGAATTGGATGCCCATGCTGGTCCTCCTCCTCTCCTTGGCTTGTATGTGACGAAGTGATGTCCTCATCAACAGAGGGGCTGAGCCGTGCCATGTTTTCCTCGATGGATGAATCATGGTCCTCGGTAAGCTGTTATCGGGCTAGTTCGAGTGGGGCCTCGGCTTCACGTTTGTAGGGGTTTGACATGGGTCAGCTGGTGACCGACTCTAGATTCTTGGCAGCCAATGCATATACTTCCTGGGTCTGTTCGACCGGTCCCAAGGGCTCGCTATCTTTCTTTGAGGAAAAACCATGGACTGTGAACCGACCAAAACTTGAACATGTACCGGGATGCCTGCGACGCTCGTGTGCCTGGGTACTGGCTGCTAGCAGGCCCATCCCTTTCCACCCCTCACTCCAAAGGTGTCCTGGAGCGGTTGTGAACCCGTCGGTGGGCCAACCTTCAAACTCCTAGGCCTAAATGGGCCGTGGGAGTGTTTTCAGCTCTGTATCCCTCCTTACCTGTGGCAGTTCTCGGCTCATCGAATGGGGCTAACCATCATCTGGCATGTCCTTCGAGGGAGCGGCCAGAGGTGGTGCACGCATGTTTCTCAGAGTGGCGATGTGACGAGGTGCGGCGAGCACGTAGATCTAGGTGGACAGTTCGCCTCTCGCTCCACCTTCCCTTATAAATAGCGGCATTTCCCTTCATCCTTTGATACGCCTAACCGCAGCCTCGCCTTCTCCGCTTCTCTGCCGCCAGCGTTCGGGTCTATTGCCATCGCTCTTCCTCCACCAGCGTAGCTCTCATTCTTCCGCCCTTGCCTCCTGTGGAGTCATGGTATTGCTTTGATGTCACCCACGCGCGCATAGAGGCCCTTGTCAAGCGCGGTCTTCTCCGCGGGAGGACCGACGCGGTGGAGTGGCTTATGCCCGGTCGTGAGGAGGTGCCGGCATCGCCCGATGGATACGCCATGTCCTTCGTGCCCTTCCATGAGTGCAGACTCATGATTCCTCCCCATCCGTTCTTCTAGGGACTACTGCACCACTACCAGATTGAGCTACAACATCAGAACCCCAATGGGATCTAGCACATTAAGGCCTTCATCGCGCTGTGCGAGGGTTACCTAGGGATCGAAGCCCACTTCGAACTGTGGAGGTACTTCTTCTCCATTTCCTTGCTTAAGAAGAGGGATAGAGCTGGGGACCTGTCGGTGTCGATGGGCTACGCAGGCGTCCACCTTCGGGGGCAGCGGTCCGCTGAGTACATGCCCTGCCAACTATCGAGGTCCAACAAGGGTGGCATGCGTAGTGGTTCTACGTGAAGAACGATGCCGCCGCCCCCTTGCCGGACTTCACCAGATGCCTCATCGAAGAGGCGCCACAGGTGTGGTCGTGGTGACCTCCCGAGAAGGAAAAGAAGAGGATGCGCGATATCCTTGACGCCATCGTGTTCCTAAAGAGCCACAGCCTTCGCGGGGCCAGTGTCATCAGGGCATATCACGCGAGGAGGGTGGCGTCGCTGATGGCGCACGCCCTCATGTTGTACGGGATGACGCCCGACGTGTAGCTCGACAGGACTGTGCTCGCCTAGGGGCTGCTCCATGACAACGAGGTCACGCAGCACATCAAGGAGGCGACGAAGGAGTCCGACGCTGTGTTCTCGATCTCGGGACATCCCATGATGCGGCCGGACGTGGGCTTCATCGAGCTACCGGTGGGGTTGGGCTTTCGGGCCTCCATCGCGCCGCTGCCAGAGCATGCGGCCGTGAGGGCGGCGAACCACACCGTAGATGAGAAGAGGAAGAAGGAGAAGGACAATAAGAAGGTGAGGCAGTGGGCAAAGTAGCGGGCGAGGCTGAACCGAGGAAAGCGGCGGTAGGGTTCGAAGAAGGAAGAGGAAGAGGAAGAAGAAGAAGAAGAAGAAGAAGAAGAAGAAGAAGGCGACGATCCTAGGTCACCCGTCCAATGGGACGAGCTGTGCGGCGAGAACGAGGATCCATCTCTGCCATAGGCAGGGCCTTTCCCGTGGCATGCCTCGGGACAGGAGGGGGAGGATGCGCCCCCAGAGCCGGCGGAATCAAGCCGCACCGCTCCGTCC